TATATATACACATATATGTGTGTACCTATAAGCATGTGTATGTAAACGCGAAAACACACACTGCAACACACATATACATGTATTTGTATATACACACTTTACATATTTATAATTATATATACATGAAGTGGGTAGGGCTGGTTTTTGAGAACATACAAACCAACCAAGGAGCCAAAACACGCTCCTGCGGCTGCACCAGCTGACAAATGCGCTCCCGCTCGTGAGCGCCACCCTGGCCTAGGACCGGTTCTGGCCCGAGGGGTCACAGGGATTAAATATGGATGATGTAGGGGGATTACATAAGGATGTATCAGGATGTATAGATTTCTGAGCGATAAGGATAATCTCGACTGGAGAACCAATTAGACAAGACAGTGGAAAATCAAATGGGCATCTTGCTGTACAGGGACCTCTCCAGAAATTGGCTACAGGGATTCGGCTCTAGGGCTCAAAGGGAATCATATTGGCCAGAAAATGCCCTAAACCCTCATCCCCTTTCCTGAACCCTAAACCATAAGTAATGTGGTAGTTCCCATTACGAACAACCAGCACATAAGATCTACCATGTACGTGTTACATATATATATACATATTTATACACACGTAAACATATATGCATGCAACTATTCTCACATACCCCTATACAACCCAATAACACTCCCCAAATCCCAAACCTTAAACCCAACCCAGTTTGGATCCAGATTTTTGGGAAACTCCCTGGCTTTACCATATCCCTACCAAACACTATATTAAATCTTTACGCCATAAACCCATCTGGGCCCAGATTTTTGGGGAAAACTCACCGCTTTTGCCAGGCCAAGCTGCTTCTACTGAGGCGGCTCAGACGCCGACCGAGGTCGATGTTGAATTTCAACCCGGCCTCCTGGAATTTACCAGTTGAGGGTTTCGGAATTAGTTTTAGCAATTACGGATTAGGGGCGAGGGTCTAGGGATGAGGGTTCTGGGATCAGTTTTTGGGTTCGAAGCTGTGAGTTTGTAACCTCCAAGTTTATGGCCTGGAGCTTTTGGCCCCAAATACCCTGACTAAGGTCTATATTCCAGCGGGTACAAAGTAGAAAGCCAAAGCAGTTTCATACCTTGGGGATGCCGTAAAACCCTAAACCCTAAACAACAAACAACCCTAAACCCTAGACCCTAAATCCTAAACCCTAAACCCTAAACCACAAAGGGTTCCAGAGCTTGGATTGCTTGGGGCAGAGTAGGCTCCATCTTTCAGGGCTTTGGGATTTTAAGATTTGGGAAGCTACTACTTTTTCGGGTGGGGAATTTGGGAATTTCTCCAAAAAAAGGCATAGGATGCAATGGCCTGAATAGTTAAGGTAGCCAGGCCGGACCATATGAGGGTTTCCCAAAATTAGGGGTACCATTTCGAGGGTCCCAATAATAAGGATTATAGCATATTGGGGTCTATATTGGGGTCCCCTTATTTTGGGAAACTACCATATGGGTGTAACCTTTCCAAAGCAGCTCTTAGAGGAAACTTGCAACAGTGTACGGGATGCTGAAGGGCGTTTCCTTGGACTTCCTAGACCTTCTAGACAGTTTAGACCCGCTATACACTTAGAAGTCTCTACACCCAAAACCCCAAAGAAGCAAATACTTATAAACCCTAGGCCTTAAAGCCACCATCTACCCCCAGCCTCCATTCCATCCTCTATGTTTTTCCTGTTCACGCTCCATTCCACATCCTGAGTTCCCCAGCCTTGTACGTGATGTTCAGGTCCGGGTCCCCTGCAACGTGGCGGATTCCAACGCGCTCGACATCGTGCCCACTACCCACCTTACTGGTAGTCAGCAGCGAGTGCGGAATACTAGTAGCCGTTATATAAGCCTCAATAATAATACTACTACTAATAATAAGAAGAAGAATACCAATCACAACGATAACAAGAATAACAACAATAACCATAGTAACAAAAAAAGAACTGTGCCCATTTGTTTTTCTATTCATGCCCTGGGCCCTTAACCCCATTCCCAAACCCAAGAGTTGCTTCAGTAATGGGTACCACAAGGGACTATTGTGGGTATTATATAAGGCCCTACTAACTTCATATTAAGGAGCCAGTACTATAGGGGGACTGACCTACGAGTTGCTTTCCTTCACTCCCTACACCCTCAACCCTATAGTCCCCCTTAAGTAGATAGAATATGGGTTATAGGGGTTATATAGGGATTATGGAAAAGAGAATGGAAACTACTATTTAGGGTTTAGGGTTTAGGGGTATAGTCCCCCTTAAGTGGATAGAGTATGGGTTATATGGGGATCTTATTATTACGATATACCCAAAGCCATATTCTGGCTACTTGAGGGGGACTATAAACCAACAAAGAGCAAGCCGCTGGCTCGTAGACTGCCACGGTCCGACAGTGGGGCTGCCTAAGGAAGGTCTTATGGTGGACGGGGGGAGGGGAGCCCCAAAAATCCTGAATCCTCAAAACCCTCAACAACATAAACCCTAACAACCTTGGCCCCCTAAACCCTACAAGACCCTAAAGCCCTGAACCCCTTTTGCAGTTCGGGGTTTTAAGCTCTGTGGGCCAGAGGCTTGCATACTTGAGGCTTAACGGGCTCGGCTTTGGGTCTGCTCGGGCCCTGATGGGTTATAGGGGGATTGACCTAACTCGTAGGATCGTTTCAAATCGCTTCCCTTCGCTCATGGGATCTCGATACAAACCTCTGAAGGGCCTTACAAAAGGTTGCTGTCCTGCTAGGGTTTATAAGGTTGAGGCGCTTCCCCTGGCCATTGTAATAAAACCAAACCCGCCACCCCCTTGAACAAAAGCATTCCCCCTAATAATGAATGATTTCTGGCATCATACGGGTAATTGATTATTGTGAGGAGGAGGATTACTGCCATAAGCCCCGTTTTCGCTAGGCCAGATTTGTCAATGATAGATCCATGGTCGTGGTAGTTTCCATAAATGGGGAACTCCAACATGGACCCGTTTGTTACGATAACCCTTAATTACTTTGAAGAAACTTGAACTGTACCCCCTAATTTCTGGAACCCCACAATTACATGATAACGACTGTAGGATTAGGGTTTATATTTGCAATATTCGCCGTTTCGGACCGTTGTTTTTTGCAGGAAGTGCGCTGGAGTGGTTGTCGTCTTATTATTACAGTGGAACAACCATGGGCCATACTGCAACAACAGGACTGGGCAGATACCCCTGGAGGTTTGTATCCTGCCTGAGGGCTTACACTTACAATTGCTAGACTGACTACACTCATGTGGGCTCCGGCCAGGCCGTGCCAGGGAAGAACCCATGGACAGCATAGTTCCCTGTAGCTCCTACATGTATTGGTAGTTGCCAACTTGAAACCCTAGTTGGACGCGACTTGCCATACTATCAATAATCATGAAGCGCGACAATTAAGATGCAGCCGCTACAGTTGAAGCCCTGACCACGAAGAAGCCCTAAACCCGAGCCCCTGAAGTCACCCAAACTACGATCGAATCTCATGCGGGTCCCCCTGAAAAGGACAGCAGGCTTCACATGCAAGCGTTTAAGCTTCCTTTCAATGTGAGGGAATATATATATATATACATACATACATACATTCTCCACCTAAACCCTACACATGCATATGCATTTCCCTACACCCCCCATGCAGCCTCTATATCTCCCCTGAAGAAACTCTAAGCTCCTGCCACGGTGCGCAAGGAGTGCTTTCGCGCTGTCTTCTACATCCTCGCCTTCCTTCGGAGACAGCACCGCCACGTCCACCATCCTCAGCTCAAGTTAAGGGAAATTTCAAGGGAGTATTTTAAGGGTTTAGGGTTAAAGGAAATTTCAAAGGGAACATTTTACATAAGGCTTCAACTATTAGGGGTTTAGGGTTCAGGGGTTTAGGGCTTATATGGAGCCGAGGGGTATAGGAAATTTCAGGGGGAGTACCCTTACATGAGGCTTATACATAGGTTTAGGATGTCGGGTTACGGGTCAGCGGTACCATTACATAAGGCGAATAAAAGCCTTATATAGGTAGCCCAAGGATATATAACCCTAAACCCTAGACCCTAAACCCTGAACCCTAAACCCTAAACCCTGAACCCTAAGGCTTATGTGGGGGGAAACTATCCACCTTAAACTTCCTCAGATCTAGGGCTTCTCCCAGACAGGCGGGCCCCTGTGGGACCCCAAGGCGGTGTAGTTAGGGAGCGTAACAGGATGAGGTGGGATCCTTGTTCAGGATTCTAAAAGGGGGTCATGTAGAGAAACTCTCCCTTGGAGGTTTTAGGGCTTAGGGGTTAGGGTTATAAGCATCCGAATGTGGGTCATGAATGCAGACGTCCTTTTGAAAGTAGCGCTTTGGGATAGCGTGCAATTGTAGAAGCAACGCATTAGGGCTATGCTCAAAATCATGGGCCCTTTTTGTTATATATTATATTACAGTACCTAATATTTAGGGGTACCAAAATGGGACCCTAATTTTGGGAACTACCCATTATATAAGGGTGTTAGAAGTAAGGCTATGTGGCTCCGGAACAAAGAACAGCTCTATATAGGATCCCCAAAAACGGGGGAAATACAGTTAGCACGACCCACTAGATAAGCATTTTTCTGGTGGCTGAACCCAAGAAGAGAGAAAGGCTTCCAAGAAGAATCTTGCTACTCTATGGTGGGGATGACCATGTCACCCAAAAACACTGCTCACTTGCAGCTGTGGTTCATTTTGTGCTTTGGCCAGAGTTTCCTGGAACAAAGCTCCCAAGAAAAACGTGGGGAGGGTAAGACTGGAGGGACTTATTTTGCAGCATGAATGCTGTGACACACGTTTAAGGGAACCAGGATTTGTTTAAAGCAAGACGGAAGGGTTCTTAGAAGAGGTGCCCCCCCTCAAATTATCACCCTTTCCCCTAGAGGGCTGAGACTTGGTACCGTGGTTGCTAGTTTGGGGTTTAGGCTTAGGGTTCCTTCAAGCCACCAACAGTAAAGCCTATCCTCCTTCAAGCTACCGTGAAACCCGATATAACCCCCTTTTCGACAACAGTAATCTTGAAGCTCCAAGCATTGAACTCTAAAATCTCCACCCTGATGCCTACACGTGAACCCCCAATGTCATTCTGTACGGAATCAAGAACCACAAATCCTAAGCCCCCGAACCCTACATCCTAGACTCTATAAACCGCCAACCGTGCACTCTGAACTCCCAGCTGGGGAGCCTCCTCTCGCACCGCGTGAGCCGCGGCATCGGTCGGCGGAAGCGGCGCACTTCGTTCGGATCGAAGCCGATCTTGCCATCGTACTGGTAGGGCGTACCTTACACTTGCCCAAACTGAAAAGCAACCTGAAAATAGGCCGCCAATAAACTTGCTGGAGCTTCCAACAACTAGGAACCTTTTGGGGAGTCCCTGCAAACTCCAAGCCCTTAACAGGCCCTAAATCCTAAAGGTACCCTAGAAACCCTTAGGCCCAAATGGGCTCTAAGCCCTGACTGACACTAAACTGTTCTGGGCACCCTGATGAAGGGCCCACGGAGGTGTTTCAGCTGCAAAGTCGACAACCTCCAACTCCTCTCCTCTTGTGGCTGCATCTGCGAACTTGTCGAAATCGATCCAGGTACCTAGCTGCTGAACAGCGCAATTGAGGGGTACCCCATAGGTTTCGTTCGAGAGTTGTGAGGGGTGTTTCGGGGTGAGGGTCTCGGCTTCGAAAAATGAAGATGCAACTGGAAAGCCAAAGGAAACAAAATTAAATCCGGGATTTTATAGGGGTCATAAGCTTTGATTCGTTTAGGTCAAGGCAGAGGTATACAGAATAGGGGTTTGGGTGTATAACTTGTATATATGACAGTTATGTATATATATATATACACATAGACAGATACACATATGGGTTATCAGTGGATCAAATTGCGAATTCTTCAGGCTTCTACTTGAGCTGCTGGGTCCCGTGGCAAAAAAGTCATTACTGCGCGTGATTATGGTCTTCGGGTGTAGGGCTTAGGGGTTAACATGCGTGAAGCTGAGAGCGTGAGGTCTGCATGGCTGGCTTTGGCAAGGTCCACTGAGAAAAGACTTGTACAGCTCAAAGTGTTGTACGTAGTCAGAATTTGCAAGCCCGAAGAATATAGTCCACCTGAAGTAGAGAGAATATGGCTTTGGGCATATTATAATAAAATCCCCATAGAGCCCATACTCCACCCATACCTCATATGGTTCACCCACACAAAAGGCCAAAACGGCCAGCAAATACATGCAGGGACCTATCCTAAGACCCGGTTTAGGGTTTAGGGGGTTTAGGGTTTTGGGGGGGTTTAGGGTTTAGGGTTAAGGGGGGTTTAGGGTTCATGACTCCCAGCCACCCTTACCTGGATCTTTGTTAATGCTTTAACATACGAATGTCCGACAAGTACTATACTGTCCCCCTTTAGCAGATAGAATATGCCTTTGGGTATAATATGATAATAAGGTCCCCATATACCACATATTCTATCTACCTAAGGGGGACTATAAGCACAGTTTCAATTTCAATGCCGGTTTCCGCAAAGGAGCTGCGAATCTGATTCCACCCGTTGCAACTGGTTAATCACAATGCAAGTGTAGTCCCCTTAGTCCTATAATGCATATCATGTTTAATAGTTCCTTCGGGTTATACTATCCTAAAAATGAAAAACAATTCCCGGGGAGACTACAAGTAATTTATCAAGCTTCCATGACTAGACCTTACCTCTGCTCGACGGGGCATGAAGGAATGGACAAATGGACAAAGAAATGTAGTCTTATCCAATGTTACATATGGACTACTAATTATGAAGATCCATTCCTTCATCCCGCGCCCATCAGAGTTTACGGGCCCTAAAGCCTATGTATCCCTATAATCGCCTATAGCCCGTTTACCATGTCCATGTTCTTTTCCATTTGATTCTTGATTTTTTCAGACAAGGCACGCCACTGGCCAAAGGGGTCGTAGAAGCGGTCTTTACGCCCAAGGAGGACGCAAAAGCTGTGCCTGGGTGCTTTTACTTAAGGGCATTCCCTTAGGGCTTCTAGGCGGTCATGGGGTCCCTATGAAGGATTATCAGGGAAAAAATACTATACGTCTCCAAAAGGTTTAACAGGATAGAAGCTGCGGTGTCTCGGGATGCACGGACAATTTTCAACACCCTTGGAACAGAGATGGCACCTTGAATCAAACGACCATCGTGATGAAGTGGGTACGGTGGTCTTTGCATACTATCCTGGTTCCGCAGTAACCCATCATTAACAAGGGTACCCCTTTTCCTACTGTTCAGCTTTGATAAGGAGACCCCAAAATAAAAAGGGTAACTCGGTACTACTAGGGTAAGGACCTAGCCATTCAATGGGCACAGCAGCGTTCAAAAGACCTTGAACATCATATTTGGCAATAGGAACTTGGGACATGCCCTAAACTCTGATAGGGTTTACGGTTTAGAGTACCCTAAGCCCTAGCATGCAAGCTGTCGCTTGATCTCAAGGATTTGCAAAACCCCGCAGCAGGGCTTGCTTGTTGTCCAATCACTTGAAATACTGTAGACCCATACTAATAAACCCCGCCTCTTAAGGGCCTTCATGTTAGGATCCCTATTATAACCCCTCTTAAATACCCCATGATACTGTACTATTTCCATGTTCTCTTCCATTGCCCCTATGTTCCCTATTATAATCCCTATCAAGGGGAGGGGGTTTCTTTATCACAGGTCTACGTTACTTTGCTGCTGTAAGAGGCCAGGCATGCAGTTAACAGCAGCAGTGAAGTCAGCAAAGCCATTCAAATGGGGATTTCCCAGAATTAGGGATACCAGTTTGGGCGGTCCCTATAATAAGGATTGAAATATTTTGGGGTCTATATTGGGGTCCCCGTGTTTTTGGAAACTCCCAAATAGCCTCCGGCCAAACTGCCTGCTGTCGCCTGTACCCATATTTGTGAGTCCCCGCCAGTTTGGGGTAATGCTCAGTTTGTTCTGGTGCTCTTCGCAAAAATTTTGGGGCCTGGTTTTCCTGGCTTTGAAACCAAGACTACTTTATTTTTTTGGTTGGAAGACCCTGTGCTAAATTCGGAGTCCCCTTCGATGGCTTTCGAGACTACGTCCACTACATGTGCTGATATGAGCCATAGTCTAAACTCCTAGTATCCCCCTTAATTACCCCCCTAGTAGTCCCCTATATGATCCCTCACATAACCCCCTTTAAGCAGTTTGAACCCTGAACCCTAAATTCTAGTTTCCATTTTCTTTTCCACTATCCCTATATAATCCCCCGAATAACACCCTTTAAGGAGTTTAGACTTTAGCTCATATGGTAGTTTCCCTAAATAAGGGGACCCTAATATAGACCCCAAAATACTATAGACCTTATTGTGAGGACCCCCAAAAAGGTACCCCTAATTTTGGGAACCCCCCATATGAAGTATTGCTTTTTCCCAACTTACAGACTCCAGGGGCTGAAGCAGATCCAAGAAATCAATCGTTTTGCTCGCCAAAAAATTCTGGATGGCGGCTGTCAAAATTATGGCACCCATTAAGTTAATCTTAGGGTTATATTGGGGTTATATGGGGTAATGGATGGAGTACCTGGGGTCGCTAACCTCTAAACTGCGTATCTCACAGGCTGAGGTTGACACAGGATTCAACCTGTTTCACTGCTAAAAAGAAACAAACGTGGATGCCTCATTATGTAGTCTGCATGAGGGACTAAACCCTCTACACCCTAAACTCCTACCCGGACCTCCTTGCACACCCATTGTTTTGCGGTCAAAGGCTACCGTTATGAGCTATAGTCTAAACTCCTAGTATCCCCCTTAATAACCCCTAATACTACTCCCCTAATAATCCCCTTGAAGGATTTTCAACTATAGCTCTTATGGTTTTTTGGGGACGTCCAGGTAGACCCTAAAGCCATGCACTTGTAGCCGCTCCGAGCCCTCTGACGGAGCCAGGGCTCCTTTTTGTTCTTCTGTTCCGGTCGCTTTAGGGCTTAGGATTTGCGAGTTTCCCAAAAGCAATGGGGTACATGTTTGGTGGTCCCTATAAAAATGACTCTAATACTATATTGGCCCCCCCTCCTGTTTCGGGAAGCTACAATTTAGGAGATGACCCCTATAATGGAGAATCAAAGCGAAAAGAAAATAGAGCATGAGATGGAAACTCAGATTACATAGTGGCTTGTAGGCTTTCAACAGCATGGGATTATGTTCAATCTTGTCCCCTTTATGATTGAGAAGCCTTGAGCGTTCATGAGTGCATTGCGGCACAAGAAACAGAAGCTGACAGGTTTGGAGGCGATCACAAACAGCATACCAAACAATCGACTCCTACAGGAATAGTTTGTTGTTTGAACCTATAAACGCGAAAGGCAAACCGTTAAATCCTGAAACCTAGAGCGTGGATGAACAATCAAGGTGCTCATGCTCCGCCGCAATGCCATACATGGGCAGTTTGGATACCAAACCTTTCTTTGCCAGCAAACTTCGTCACGATCCAGGGTTTGGGGCTTAGAGTTTAGGGTTTGTGGCTTAGGCTTGGGAGTTGGCATTCAACCTTGGGACCGACTTGCTGGTTGTTTGTATGAAATGCCGCAATGGATTACAATAGTAGCCCCTATACCACTCCAAACAACCCAGACCCTGGGAGGATCTGGAAAGTAGAACCTCCAATTTGGTACCTAATACTACTATTGGGTAACTTCTAGGAACCGTTAAGGGGGATCTACTTTCTAGATCCTCCCGGGGGTCTGGGAAAGCAGTGCTGTTGACTTGCTCTTCCAATCCTTCACGTCTTCCCCTGCTACCAGCACCAGTAAATCAGTGAGCAGGGCACGGTTACAATCGTCTCCCCTGATATCAATCCCCACCCCCCCACCCCACCCCCTAATATTAGGTACTACCAAGAAACTATTGATTATCCAAAATGGGGAATATTCAACATTAGCGGGTGGGGGGGGTTAACATTAGCGGGAAAGGATCATACTCCACCTCGTTATGCATAACTCTGTGCCAGTAGACGAGCAGCGTCTTTCAATAAACCCTGAAAGCGCCTCATACTATGCCCCTGTATCCCTGTCCCTAGACCTGGTCCGCATAGAGTTTGGGGTGCTGGCCCCTTTTCCTAGACCCTAACCAATAGACCTCAATGTAAGGTAGGGTTGGGGTTTAGGGTTTAGGGTGTAGGGTACCCTATAGACCCTAAACTATAGACCTACATGTAAGCCCTCCCCCGAAGGGGGACTAAACGCCATATAAATTACCAAGCTACATAACCCCCCCACACCTTTAAGCGGGACCTCCAAATACACTACCCAAAACCCTAAACCATCCGAAACCCAAAACCCCAACCCCTCAACCCTATCTTGAAAAGTAGGTAACGGCGCGCCAGCTGCAGCACATCGTCGTGCCGGGGGATGCTGTCCCGGGATAGCCCAGAGTTGCGCTTGTCCCAAACCTGGGTTTAGAGTTTAGGGTTGAAGGCTAAGGGATTATAGGGTTGAAGGTGGGTTTAGGGTTTGGGCGGAAGGCGTAGGGATTAGGGTGTATGGTCTGGGGAGTAGGGTTGAAGGAGTTGGCTTTGGGATTGAAGGCTAAGGGATTAGGGTTTAAGGTCTGGGGATTAGAGTTTAGGGCTTAGGGTTTAGGGAGTATTACCAGCGAACTTGGAAACCCCACCCCCGGCAAAAGCACTTTAAAGAGGATGTGCAAACAGTTTGCGACTCCCCTGGTCGAGCCCGGGAAAAAAGCGATTTTAGTAATTAAAACCCAATTCGAATTATATTACCTCAAGCAGCGAGATTTCATTTTAAAACCGTGAAGATGTTAAAAAAGCTGCGCATTCAGAGGTACCTCAATGAAAAAACCTGCGCATTCCCTTAAAATCTTGAGCCATCTTTTAGAATCTCCGGGCCGGGGGGGGTGGGGGGTCTAAGTTGGCTGATGAGGGTTTAGGGATTGGGGTTTAGGGCAATAAGGCAGGATCAACGGCCGAACGAAAGCAGAAAACGAAACGCAATCTGTGTTTTACAAGGGTTGGTTAACATCCTAAGCGTAGAGAGATTCCGAGTAGAGCTTTGGGGGATCTTAGAATAACTGTTGAAGGACTGCAAGTGCGAAATCATGATGTTGGGGAGGGGAGGGTGGGAATTGGTGGGATGCAAAGGAGGGTTAGGAAGTTTAGGTAAGGTGGGATAGTCAGCACCGACGCTGTGGAGGCGTACTAGGCAGGTTTAAGCCATTGCGCACTTCAAAGGCAAGAAAGCAGCCAACTCTTGAGGGGGTTAAGGTTGGGGGGGGCGGGTGTTCAGGTAGTTAGGATGGGATTCCAAGTTACGGGTGTTGAGGCTCAGGATTCAGAATCTAGATTTAAGCATATCCCGGGGAGGGGGCAAAGAGGTATGGGGTCTGACACTCTTTGCGAGCTACCGAATACGATTCTCTCCTTGATAGGAACTACTAAACCACCCCGAAGCCCGCAAAGTAGGATATAATCTTATTCTCTGAATTAAGATCTATAGCATCCCCCCAAAAAGGTACGTGCTACTTCACAAGGTGTACCTCTGGCTACTATGTTTGCTTTGTGGGTTCTGGCGGTGGTGGACGGACTCGTTCCCAACCCCTAATTGAATGCTAGCTTCGAGTGCTATATATCTCTAACAGAAACTTGAAGGCTCTAGTAAACAAAACACATGGATCCAAGACCTGATTCCCACCTTGCGCCAAACAACACATGAAATTCAGAAAAGGGTGCTTCTAGAAGGAACTTACAGGTTCTCCAAGTTGTGCAACTTAGCGAGGGCAAACGACGTCAAATCTACCCATGAGGCGCCTGGAAAATCAGAATATCCCCACAGAACTCCCATATCCAAGTGCCAAGCTGGCTTGCCATAAGGGTCCAGGTACTTAATTATCATATAGTTACCCAAAAGCTGTAAAACAATTACCGTTACCATTGGAAACCTAAATTCCCACTTACTAGGCACTTGGACCTCAAGCGTCAGGGCAAG